GAACAGGAGGAACGGTCAGCTGAGGGGGCACAAAATGGTGGTGGGGGCACAAAATGGTGGCCTCAGAGACACAAAATGGCAGCAACACTAGGAAATGGAGGCTGAGGGGGCACAAAATGGTGGTGGTGGCACAAAATGGCGGCCCCAGAGACACAAAATGGCGGCGACAAGAGAAAATGGTGGTGAAAGAGACACAAAATGGTGGCCACGGGGCAGCTGGAAGGAGTTTTGGGGTGAAAACGGCTCAATTTTGTCAATAAAATGATGCAATTTTGGTGTTAACTGATGGTTGGAGGGGGTTTTGGGGTGAAAACAGCTCAATTTTGTCAAGATGATGAGGTGGTTTTGGCGGGAAGTGATGGTTGGAAGAGGTTTTGGGGTGAAAACGACTCAATTCTGTCAAGATAATGAAGTAATTTTGGTGTGAAATGATGGTTCAAAGAGGTTTTGGAGTGAAAACAGCTCAATTCTGTCAAGCTGATGAGGTAATTTTGGGGTGAAATGAGGTTTGAAGAGGTTTTGGGGTGAAAACAGCTCAATTCTGTCAAGATGATGAGGTGGTTCTGGCGGGAAGTGATGGTTTGAAGAAGTTTTGGGGTGAAAACGGCTCAATTCTGTCAAACCGACGAGGTTTCGAAGCAACGCTGTGGTAACAACGTGGGTTCCAACACTTTTTGGGGTGAAAAAGGCTGAATTCAGGCAAGGTGATGACGTTGGGTTGTCGGGAGGCGTCGACGCGGTGCCCACGCCGGCCAGGAGAGCCTTTTTTTGGGGAAAAAAAAGCCAAATTCAGTTAAAATAAGATGTTTTTGAGAGATGGTGGCAGGACCACCACGTTGAGGCCAATTTTGGGCCATTTAGGGCAATTTCAGGACATTATGGGGACATTTCAGGGCGTTTTGATGCTCTTTCAGGACATTTTTTGCTATTTTGGGGCTGTTTCAGGACATTTTTGGGCCATTTCTGGACATTTTTTGGTGACTACAGGGCATTTTTTTTGTAATTATGGGGGCATTTCAGGATATTTTGAGGCCATTTCAGGGCATTTTTGGTCATCTCTGAGTCATTTTTGACATTCAGGGCAATTTGGGGCTATTTTGAAGCTGCTTCAAGGAATTTTGGGTCCATTTCATGGATTTTGGGGCCATTTCAGGGCATTTTTTGGCCACTCAGGGGTTGTTTCAAGGTATTTTAAAGCCCTTTGGGAGCATTTTGGGGGCATTTCATGGCATTTGGGGCCATTTGAGAGCATTTTTTTTGCCATTTGGGGGTATTTTAAGGCCCTTTGGGAGCATTTTGGGGCCAGTTCAGGGCATTTTGGGGCTATTTCAGGGCATTTTTGTCCACTTGGGGGTATTTTAAGGCCCTTTGGGAGCATTTTGGGGCCAGTTCAGGGCATTTTGGGGCTATTTCAGGGCATTTTTGTCCACTTGGGGGTATTTTAAGGCCCTTTGGGAGCATTTTGAGTCGGTTTCATGGCATTTGGGGCCATTTCAGAGCATTTTTGGCCACTCATGGGTGGTTTCAGGGTATTTTAAGGCCCTTTGGGAGCATTTTGGGGCCAGTTCATGGCATTTGGAGCCATTTTAGGGCATTTGGGGCCATCTCTTGAGCTTTTTTTCTGACATTCAGGGCAATTTGGGGCTATTTGAGGCTGTTTCAAGGCATTTTGCATCCATTTCACGGCATTTGGGGCCATTTCAGGTTATTAAAGTGCATTTTGAGTCCGTTTCATGGCATTTGGGGCCATTTCAGGGCATTTTGGGGCCATTTCAGGTTACTGAAGTGCATTTTGAGTCCATTTCATGGCATTTGGGGCCATTTCAGGGCATTTTGGGGCCATTTCAAGACAATTTTAGCCACTCAGGGGTATTTTAAGGACATTTAGGAGCATTTTGAGTCCGTTTCATGGCATTTGGGGCCATTTCAGGGCGTTTTGGGGCCATTTCAGGACATTTTTAGCCACTCGGGGGTATTTTAAGGCCATTTGGGAGCATTTTGAGTCCGTTTCATGGCATCTGGGGCCATTTCAGGGCGTTTTGGGGCCATTTCATGGCATTTGGGGCCATTTCAGGGCATTTTGGGTCCATTTCATGGCATTTTGGGCCATTTCAGGGCATTTTGGGTTAATTTCATGGTATTCTGGGGCCATTTCAGGGCGTTTTGGGGCCATTTCATGGTATTCTGGGGCCATTCCAGGGCGTTTTGGTTCCATTTCATGGCATTTGGGGCCATTTCAGGGCGTTTTGGGGCCATTTCAGGACATTTTTAGCCACTCGGGGGTATTTTAAGGCCATTTGGGAGCATTTTGAGTCCGTTTCATGGTATCTGGGGCCATTTCAGGGCGCTTTGGGGCCATTTCATGGCATTTGGGGCCATTTCAGGGCGCTTTGGGTCCATTTCATGGCATTTGGGGCCATTTCAGGGCGTTTTGGGTCCATTTCATGGCATTTAAGGCCATTTCAGGGCGTTTTGGGTCCATTTCA